AAATCTTGCTGTATGTATTTCCCATGTGCCCGTTTGCTACTTAAGCAACCTCTTCCCTGTGTTAAATTGAACGGAGAGCCTTTGAAATTTGTTACGTCATATGTTTATCTCGGTATTCACATTAATGACAAACTGAGTGACGACGACTGTATTCTTACCCAGATAAGAGGTCTGTATAGCCGTGCAAATACTATTATACGCAAATTCGCTTATTGTTCTTCATATGTTAAAAAGACGTTGTTTACAGCTCATTGCTCCCAACTTTTTGCTGCACAGTTGTGGGACAGAGCTAGTTCTAAAACTGTATCAAAGTGTCGAGTTGCTTACAATAACTGTCTTCGCATCATAATGTCACTACCCAGATTTTGTAGTGCAAGTGAAATGTTTGTATACAATAGGATTGACACATTTGATGCTACATGGCGTAAACAATGTTACTCATTTATATCCCGTCTATACAAGTCATCAAACAACATTATCCAATCTGTTCTTAAATCTGAAGTGATATTCCGTAGCAGATTCTTTCGCAATAACTGGGCCCGTCTGTACATATAGTCTTTTACTGATGTAATTGTGTGTGTATTATATATGTATGTTGTATATGGGCGAGTTATGCCTGACATAAAGAAATAAATAATAAAACTACACACACACACACACACACACACACACACATACACACACACACATACACACCACACACACAGATGCACATATACATACACACACACACCACACACAAATACACACAGACATGCACATAAAAACACATGCACATACACAAACACACACACAGAAACACACAGAAACACGCACACATGCAAATACACACATACACACACACACACATACATACACACACACACACACTCACGCACACACTCACGCACACAGACGCGCGCGCACATGCACACGCGGGCGCGCGCGCGCACACACACACACACACACACACACACACACACACATAGACACATAGACACACACACACACACATACACGCGCGCGCACACGCACACACACACACACTCACTCACACACACACAAACGCGCGCGAACACGCACACACACACACACACACTCACTCACACACACACACACACACACACACAATCAGACACACAGACACGCACTCACAGCACACACGCACACACGCACACACATACTCACACAATCACACACAGGCAAAACAAAAACCTTGAGTATTCCAGCACCGACAGTTTGCATAACATGTTACATGTTTTAACATGTAATATGTTATGCAAAATTAAAATGAAAATTACAGCATTCTGAAATATGCCTGTGCAGCAAGTGGCCCCCTGATGACGACTGGCCGTGGATTCCCTTCTACTATTACAACGTGGCGTGGGAGAGAACAGAAGCAGTTTTAAAAATAATCTATTTTGACGTACAGGTAAGACGTGTGTTGCAAACCAAATACACTTCCTTCTTAATACATCTATTTTCCAGGACGACAATTAAGAGCGTCAGATATAATTGGCAAGTACATGCATATGTGTACTTACGTTCGCAATCAAACTCTCCATCCAGTGTCTGCCTTTGTCACACATTCAGAACCTTCCCCCGACAGGCCAACCAAGTTTGGCTCAAGTTCGGGAGCAATCCGATTAACTTTAGGACACGCCACCGAATCGGATTTAAGTTACATTTGAGTCAAATATGACTTGCAACAACGCCCCGGCCACTACTGACTCTCTTCCGAACATCAAACAACTACCAGCCAACCATGACCGAACATGCCGGCCACATGCGAATGTTTTATATATTTTGAAACATTCGGCTGACGCAGCAGAACTAGTAGCAGACCTCACCGAACACCAGCCAACCACAGCAGACCTCGCTGACGACCTACTCCTAGGATCCTAAGCACTTCGGCCAGTGTTCGGGAGGCCATATTCGGCTTTATCAATCAACTGTGTATTAAAAACGCACTTACGGGGAAACAAGATGACTTTGCCAGTTGTAGCCTCCTTTGCAGACTTGTTCGCAGACGCTGGTGGAGAAAAACTCCCTCCATGGGAAACTCCCTCCCGGCTAAAGTCCCTCTCGGCATATTCGCGTCGCTCTCCTAAAAAAAATTAACGCTGCCGCCGCACAAGTCTGGGAAGGAGGCTATTAAACCTGTTGTAACTTTGCTTTCAGGTAGGAGAGGAGAAACCTAACAGGGTGGAATGTGTGATCAAGGGACAAACCTACCCTGTTGAAGTGATAGTAAAAGGTGGGAAAAAAGCCCTGACAAGGTTATCATTTCAGCATATTTTTACTTGCGTTTCTTACATCGCATAATCGGTAGGTTCCCGCTTACATACTTCATGCGATCGTCCGGCAATGGCAAACTGAGTGCATTAATTATAATTCTTGGGACAGTAGTTTTCTTGGTATATGCTGATGAATGATAGCATTATCTATCTGGGAGGGTTTAGTTCCTTTCATTTTGTAAAAACCTGACTTTCAGGCTTGTTTGAACTTCCCGGTAGAACTCTAGAAATTGTTTCGTTTGGCTGCGGTGTAAGGCCATTGGATGGGTCATAGGTCATAGGTCATGATGAGTTTGTTTTTGTCGGAACGCAGATGTTCTGCTTTAAGAAATTATGGCCTAAGTGGACAATTTAGGGGTCAGACAACCTTAGCTTGTCCGTGTGTGCTTTTTACTGATGTAGGTGACTTATGACAGCTTATTTCTTATATATATATATATATATATATACATATATATATGATTTCTTATATATTTACCATGTATTTTAATGGGAACTTGCAATGGTGCCATATGCCCTGCTGTGGTAAGAAGAATGCAAACCCAAACGCAACCTAATGCCGACGTGAACATTTGTGTACAAGGAACTTGTAAGTATCTGGATTTTTTCTTTATCCAGCCTGCCCCGTCGGCCGATTCGGACGGATCTGTATGGAGCGCTGTCAGTGTTACAACGGGGCTTCGTGTCACAGCTTCAACGGCGCGTGCAAGTGCGCCCCTGGCTGGACTGGAAGGCACTGCACCACTGGTAACGTTTAAATCATGATACCGATTTTATGCCCTTCAGTTATTTCGCAAGAGTCCCCAGACTCCAACGTTGCAGTATAAATTAACTTTTTTTTTACTTTTATTTCATTTTATCAGAAAATCCAGAAGTGCGCATCAGTCCTTCAAGCAGTGAACTGAGAGACTTGCGGTACGGACAGGAACTACAGCTGACATGCACAGGCTACAACTTTCCTATCACAAACATCACATGGTTCTTCAAGAATGACGTTTCTAAGACTGAAAAACCGCCGGAAGTCAAGGACAGGAAGTAAGGCTTCTTTAAGATCGTCTGACGTCTTACTGTTTTAATCTTCAATTCCATAGGAGATTAATATATTCCGTAGGCCACAGCAACTAAATTGATGGATGACATCAGCGCGTGCATGAATTTTCGCCTGATATCATGATTTTGGAGAAAAAAAAACATTTTGTTGCTCTCTGACAGTGCAAAATACGGGCAAAGATGTCTGTTGACATGCCGGAACGTGAACGGCAGATAAATATGAAGAGGGGAGACAAGACAAGGCTCCTATTTAATATTTTGACTTTTACTTTGATGGAGTGAAGTACTTCATTCCTTTTTTGAGTGATGATGGCTGTGTATATGTGATGTTCCCACTGAATCACAACCATGTAGCAATGATTAGAAATTTTAAGTTGTTTCAGTGACAAATGGCTGTTTTACTACTAGCAGTTGGCAGTAAAGTAAGCACAATGTAGGTATTATTTCTTGGTTAACAAGACTTATGATCGCATTAGATTTAGAGTCTGCGGAGGATGTCATCCATAAAATTTACATGCTAAGGCCTTACCTACAGAGACACAGTCCCACAACACGTGGAAACTCCGCAGCCTACACGAAACGATATTTCCACATATTGTCCCGTCTTTCTAACCCCCTCCACAGCTCTACACATCTAAATATCAGCTCCCTGCTGCCTCAGTATGAGGGTCACGTGACTTGTGAGGCCGTCAGTACCAGCGGAGAGAAATACAAAGACGCGGTCGACATACGGATAGCAGGTACTGTGTGCCACTTGTTATGTTTTACATGTAACGTTCAGATACTGGTTAAAACTCGCGTTTAATGGTCAACATTTTCAAGTAGTTTTACAATGATACATCAAAAAAAATCAAGCAAGTAACTGGATTTATTTTCCGAATAGTCAGTCGTTTCATATAGTAGCCATTATCTCTCATCACTTTTGTATTACTGTTGTGTAACAGTTGTAATGCTGTTGTATTACTGCTGTATAAGTGTTGTGTAATTGTTGCTTTTCTATTGTAATGCTGTCGTGTAATAGTTGTACTACTGTTGAGTAATCCTTTGATTACTGCTGTAACAATAATGCCATATTACCGTTGTATAACAGTCGTGATGCTGTTGCATTACCGCTGTGTTACTGTTGAAGAACTGTTGTATTGCTGTTGGGTAATTGTCTTGTTACTGTTGTGTGAGTGATGTTGTGTGAGTGTTGTGTTACTGTTGTGTAATACTGGTATTAATGTTGTGTCCTGTGGAACATGCCAGGTTGCCGGGACAACCTGTACGGTGAGCGGTGTGACCAGACCTGTGACTGTACCGGCCCGGCCACGTGTAACCGGACCCTCGGCTGTGCCTGTCCCGAGGGCGTGTCCGGCGACGGTTGTCCAAGTGAGTCACTTCCACAAGCTAATCGCTGCATGAAAAGTAGAACTTACCGAATGATATGATAAATGTTGAATACGTCTGGTGGTGGTTGGTTTAGGCGATAAACGTCGCAAGTATAGAATCCCTTAATGTGTGTATTTTTAATTCTATTCCAACATTTAACACATGCACAAGACATAGTGACGGCACACTTAGTCTAGTTCAAGTTATTTTTATGTCGCAACCAGATACAATGTAGTGGACAATAGACAATACTCATTTTAACTTGAGTTAATGCTGAGGTCACAATTCCCACACGGGGCCCGGCCAGGCAGCTTTTGGGAACGAAAAGTACGATATAAAAGACAGCAAAATACAGAAAAGTCTTTCATAATAACGATGGGCACTACGTTAACCATTCTTGAATTGTTAATTTTTCGTTCATACAAACAGCCCGGCCGGTCCCGGTTTGGAAATGTGACCAGGCATAATTAAGAAAAGTCGTGCCGGCGCGCCTTTCCCAAGGGCACATCATCGGTGTCATGGTAGGATTCGAATATTCGAATTAGGGACCTAATTCGAATCCATAATAATCCACAATCTCATAACAATGAAGGCAGCTTGTTTGCCAAGCTTTTTTTATTTGCACCCTCGCATCAGTTTTGGGGTTCCCAGAGGATGTCATCCATATAATCAAATCAACATGGCCTAAATGGAACTCTGCTGATACGTTGATTTTCATTATAGACCAAATCAAGTTATTCATTGAATATCTCCAACCGTTGCAGGACCCGAAGACGCCGACACCCAGTTTACTCTACTGGTCGTCAGTTTAACCTCATCAGGCGTGGTGATCCTCCTCGTCATTGTCATTATCCTGCTCCACAGGCAAAACAACAGGCTTCGTGTGGGACCCATTAACGACCCAGAAATCTTCAAACTTGGACAGAAGATGCAGGTAGCTTTTCTACAGATATATCATTCCGTTAGATTTGCCATTGTGTGATAAACTAAATACTAAAAAGGCCACAGCAAGTACATTTTATAATTTTTCAGCTTTATTCCGTATGCAAAAATCATACAGCACAAACACAAAACATTTGAACACAAAAATATACATAATAAACAAAATAGAAAAGTAAAGGAATGTAAAGTAACATCATTTGTCTGTCGTTTAAACAGTTGCTAATGTAAGGCAATCGTTTACATAACAAAAAAGAAGATACATATATGATATCGCATGAAAATAATAACTGTGCCATTCAACAGATTCTATGTATGGCATCCTCCGTATACTAAAATTTAAACTGAACTGAACTGAATGAAATAGGGTGTAAAAACAAGACGACCAAGAAGACAAAATTCCTGCATTTTAAAATTTTCTGAACATAAATTTTGGTAAACAAGAAATAAGGTGACAAACATTATTTTACAATCAACATGATTTTCAGTCATGTATTCAACTGTATTACCTGTTCTTGGAGATGTGTATGCATCTCATTTAACTAGAACAATTGTAGAAAAGAGCTTGAGGGTATCATCATGTGTTGTTTTATACGAGGGGCCCACCTTAGAGTTGTCAGTGTCAACACTTGCAAGCAATTTTGCCTCAGGTTTGCTGGATCCCTGATAGTCTCTGAACGGATAGACGTTTACGACATGTTGGCCCGTTTTCGACCTCCGGTGGACAACAAAATTTCTTGTTTATCCCCAGAAATCAGACAAGATGGAACTTGGAAGCATTTAAAGACTGAGCTCACTAATACTCTAGCCTGGTTACGAGACCAATCTTAGCTCCCGAGTCTTACATCCTTTTCGCAAATAGGAATCGGGAGGTAAAATAGGTTTAATAACCGGGCTACTAATATTTCAACAGTTCAACAGTTTGTTCATAAAAAAATAAGCCTTGCAGCCTGTATAAAAATATGCTGAATAACACTGATTTTTTTACAGTTGTCTAGCAAATACAAATACAAATTAACAATACAATACAATACATATACATATACAGAGACACAAACAAAAACATTACTCTATATTCATAATTACTAAAGCTGTTGCAGTGATAATGAGCGCTGTCCTACAAATACAGAAACAAGCCTCCATAAGGTTGAATTTCAAACTTTTACCAGGCCGTGATGCCACGGGAGCGAGGCCCCTCGTCGAGCAGTATCGACATGGATATGTTGAAGGAGAGGGAGATAGACAGAGGAAGGCTGCAGATCGGACAGCTCCTGGGAGAGGGCGCTTTTGGGCATGTAGTCAAGGCAACGCTGGAACAACCTGAAGGAGGCAATGTCGTGGTAGCTGTCAAGAAACTGAAAGGTACGTAATACAGACACACACACGGACACAACAGGCATATGCAATGCACATAAACGGTTAGATATGGCAAATAATGATAAAAACTGGCCCCAGAACTAGCGTATCTCACGCTTATGCTTATTTTGTATCGTATTGCTACGGTATTATATTGATATTTTATCTTGCGTTTTTGTATGTTATAATTAATAATTTGTATGATGCACGTGTCAGTGGTAGCCGCTACCTGCCTTGTTGCTGCCTGGCTACCACATGTGATGCCTTGTTGTATTTTCACTTAAGTAAAGTGAAGCAATGTAAAATCTGTGATTCTCTTAATTTCCAGACAACGCAGAAACAACTGCAAGGACTGACCTTCTGCGAGAGACCTGTATCATGTTGTTGTGCGGTGATCATGACAACGTCATCGGGCTCAAAGGCATCTGTTTTAGAGACGGTCAGTTCATATGTTTATGTCGTCTATATGATTGTGCATATACTCAGTATTATTTCTTAAGTCAGGAAAATGTGTACGACAGAAAGTGGTACATGAATTGTTAGTAAAAAGTTGAACTTTATTCCAACACACAGTTTACAGAGAGCTCAAATTTTCAGCGACCACTGTCGCCTAAATCAGGATAATTAATGACCAATCACTTCACAACGTGATCTCGCGAGAGTCCCGATTTACAAACACGTGACCTTATTCACACGAGACTTTACTGATACGTGACGTAAGCAATTGATCAAAAGTGCCAGTTTATATCGTACACCATCCCTGAAGGCTGAAGTGCTCTGATATATATGGCCTACTTAATGCCTCTTAAAAAGTAGTCCTGTTCAGTGTCCAGTATTCTAACTTTGTCCAGAGAGACGGTATGGCCCAGTATGTATTTCTAGAATAACACTTCTTTCACTCTTTATGCATATGTTTCTTTGTGAAAAAAAACTGATCCATTTAAAGGCACCATGCACAACAACACTTTCCGTGCATTCAGCACCAGGGACAGGACGCCTTCTTTATTTCTCGTTACATCAGAAAGTTAAGAAGGTGCAACACTAGTAAGACGTAAAAATGTTGAAAAAAACAACAAAAACAGACAAAACAAGAATTCGGTGACCTCATGTCTCAATGAAATATTCAAAACTTATTTACCTGTATCATTGGTTATGAAAATAAGGTTGTGATTAGCAGAACCTGTTTTGATTGATGGTTTTCTCGACTCAACTTACATCTATTTTGTATGTGAAAGTCTTTTGTTATCCTTTTGCAATGTCTCTTTTCAAAAGGAGCTGTGATACACGGCAGTATATATGTTGCATCCAACATGTTTGACAATCAGGAGCTTTACAATAAGGTTCTGCCCATTTTGTCCAAAGCATATAGAAAATGAATTTCACCTTGTTATGGAATGTACCAAATATGATGTTTTACGTAACAAACTATTTACATTTCTCGAATCAAGTACAACAGATTTCAAAAGTCTCGATGTTGGAGACAGATTTGAATACATCTCTACATGTAATGGTTCCCACAACGCAATTCAACACATTTATTTTATTGTTTGTTACTTTCTTTATATAGTTTGCCATACATTTTACCATGTGCAATTGTCGTGCAATAATACAGTTCTTCTACTATACTATAGGGCCACTGCAGCTGGTGCTGGAATATGCGGAACACGGGAGTCTCCTTCACCTGCTGTGGACGTTACGTGCGGAGTCCAAACTCAACAGGACCGTTCTGGTCAACAAACGGCACATCTTCGAGAACATGATGGTGGGAGTCTGCTGCGGGCTGGAGCACCTGGCGAGCCAGAGGGTGGGAATTTGTTGCTAATAATTTTCATAGATACCGACATGTGTAGCGCTTCACTACGTACACATTGGTCATCTTACGTGCGTTATTAATGGGGCGCTTTGTAACATTTTTGCATGAAGAATTTGTCTTCCATTGCCTAAAAAGAAGAAGTCAAACCCAGTAAAACTAGTACCATGTATGTTGTAGAATATAGTATAATGCTAGAAGTAGATATAGTCTCACATACTACTGTATTTTCTTTCTTATGTTGTTTGTAACTGAAATTAGCCCTCGGGCAAGTATTTGCAATAAATTTTCATTATTAAAAACAAGGAATTCATGAAAATAAACGTTCAATTTTAATGTAACTGCACTTTTCAACATATTTCTGCAATTATCTCCCATTTTTGGTTGGCGCTAAAATAGTCCACATGAGGCGCACTCAGTTACAAAATTACCAAAAAATCTCAAGAAACAAAATTGGTCAAAATAATATGTAATTACAAATCTCATGTCAATGATTTTGGAACACAGAAAGAATTCAGTATCGCTGACCAAGGCTAATCTGATCTATTTATCACCAAGACATGGTTTGGTGAATAAAAAAAATATTTAGGCGACATTTCGGTGACCGTCTAATTCCGGTTTAAATTGCACAACACCAGTGTCGTTACGGAACGTTAAGTATTTACAGTTACGGTAACAGTATCTACAATGCAGTCCCAAACGTACAGTAGTATAGCACATCGTCTCATAGAACGGCTCATGTAAGGTCGTATTCGCGCATAGAACGTTGACATCCCGTCTGTATAGTTTCCAAATGTTGTGTTGGAAAAGATACCGTCTGCAACAGGCAAAATTCTGATGCAACGTTGACCAAAGATCCAAGGAAAACCGTGAAAAATCAGGGTTTCGGACAGGAGCAGTACGTTATGCCGACGTGCTCACTAGTGCAAAGTATACAGTCAGTCAGAATTGCCCAGAGGAAGGTGACGGGCGGTCACTGAAACGTCGGCTGAACTTAAAACACTTGTAAACTGACCAACTTGATGAAACTATGCACGGACTTGACTTGATCATTTCTATTCACATGTATGCACATCCAGCTGGTTCACCGAGACATCGCCGCCAGAAACATCCTGATCTGTGGGAAGGGAACCGCAAAGATTGCTGACTTCGGGCTGGCTCGTGACACGTACGCTGTTGGGTACCATCGACAGGGGAGGGTAGGTCGTTATCAGTTGAGGTTGGTTGCCGTATTTTTACTGGACAATACCGACACAAACCTTAGCCCTAAATAACGTATGTTCAGGCTGTTGGCCAGCCCCCGAGGTAACGTGCGATCTGAACTTAGTTCTTGACGCACGTCAACACACCCAGGGTACACAGTTTTCGTACGCAGTTTTCAGGGGTGCCAGAGAATTTATCAGAATTTAACGGAATTCATACGATCCTTACTAGGAAAATACGAAGTTAACGGAATACACACGATCCATTACTAGTAGAAACATACGAAGTTTACGGAATACATGCGATCCATTACGCGGAAACATACGATTATTACTAATTTGGGGCCATTTGGTGACTTGCCATCGCGATCACCGGTTCCACCGTTTCCAAACCTCGCCCTGTTATTTTGGTTTAAAATACAAAAGTGCAAAAGTGCAGTTTGGGGTTTAGCATGCAGGATAAGCCCTTAAAATTCTTTGAAACCAAGATATTGTAGGGAGAATAGCGCTATAATAGTCCGCCTATGATCGTGGTGCAAGTCACCAAATTAGTAAGGACCATATGTATTCCGTGTAATGTATCGTATGTATTCCGTAAACTTCGTTTGTTTCTATAGTATGGTTCGTATGTATTCCGTAAACTTCGTATGTTTCTAGTAATGAATCGTGTGTATTCCGTAAACTTCGTATGTTTCCTAGTAAGGATCGTATAAATTCCGTAAAATTCTCATAAATGCATTGAATGTGTACGTCATAGTTTTGCCTGAATGTGTAAACCGGTCAATAACTCATGCAATAGCTTCACGGGTTAGAAATAAAGACACTCTGGAGACAGAAGAAAAAGTTGTTTTTGTCTTGAGGAATATTTCTGTTACTGAGGGTCTCTGTCTTTTCATCCAGGGTAACGAACTCCTGCCTCTGAAGTGGATGGCACCGGAGGGCTTGAAGAACGAGGCTATGTTCACCCACAAGAGTGACGTGTGAGTATTTATTTGGTGATTTTATTTATTGAATTGTCAGACAACTTGGTGGCCCATTCAATTCTGTGACATTTTAGATGGACCAAGACTACAAAACAGCGAAGTCATCAGTATCAGTCATCAGAGAAAACAAACTGGCAAAATTTAACAAAATTTAACATGCATGCATGTGACAGATGATAGTAAAACATATTAAGTAACCGACAGTATAGATAAACAAATAAATGTGTTACATGAAAACGAACTTGTTTGCTTGCCAGGTGGTCTTTTGGGGTTCTGTTGTGGGAAGTGGCGCAGCTGGGTCGCACGCCGTACCCTGGGATGGACGGCGCAGACAGAATATACGATGCTCTGCGTAACCACTTCAGACTCCCGAGGCCACAGCTGTGTACAGAGGAAAGGTACGTCCGATATCGTGTACATTCGTGCTGCGTACCTGAAGACTTGGTGAAGATAAATTAAATGTACACAGTAGTCTGGTGGCCTTACAGCATCATAGGTGGTCAAAATGCGGGGGGTGGGGTGGTCGATGGGTTTATTACCCGGGCTAGGGCGCGCAGACCTCCAGCTTGGCATTAGACGACTTCACGGTAGAGCCGTCGGAACTGTACCAGGCAGGGCATTCTGCTGCGGGAATGATAGAAGGCAGTATTTGTACATGTACGTATCTGTTCTAGCCTATTTTTTTAAAGTTTCAAACCGGCTTCAAAGCATTCCGACTTCAGAGTGAACGCTATGTGGTTTCACCGGTTTATTTTAATGAATATGAACCTGGCCATGGGTGACGGGGTCATATTTCTTCATTTATATGCAATTAAAAAATGTACGCCGGCGCAAGTTCAAGAGCGGGAAGATGTCTGAATAACATGTCCATTCTAGGAGGAGCTGCACCTCTTCTGTCGTGACCACGCTGCCATTCGGCCGAGGTGCGCTCGGAGAGTTAGGGGCCTTTCTGTTATAGCTTTTATAGTTTGGAATTTGGAGCTGCCTCTGGTGCACCCCTGGACTGGTTTAAGTACTAGGCTGCCAGTTTGTATATCGTCATGGTTATACACTAGCTTCGCATCCAGTTAGTTGCTTGAGTAACTGTTTTTTTGGCGTATACACTAGCTTGTTGCTCCTTTCAGAGAGAACGCTTGAGATCGTAAATTTGCATAAGGGAGACATGTTACATTGAAGGGGAAATATCCAACACGTTTGCCACAAACTAGTGACAAACGTATAGATACTGTACAGTTCCCCATGGTACTACCAAACTGATGCACATTGTACATACGAGAAATCCTAAATATAGGTCATTAGTTATAGAAGACATTCATTCTGTGCACACTGTTCACACAGGTACCAGCTCATGCTGAAATGTTGGAAGTTTAACGAGAAGAGAAGGCCGGACGCCACAACAGTTAGAAAACAACTGGAGGCAGATCCCAATGTAAGTTTTTAAAATCATTTTTCTATGAAGATTTACTACATCTGTCGAAGGATTGACTCTCAGCTCTTCAAAGATGTCAAACTGAGGTATCAGTTTGACATCTTTGAGACTGTGAGGTTTGAACTACTCACACCGGGAAGAGCCTCTTCTCTTTTCGATAAGTGTGGTGGGTTCTTTAACGTGCCCAAGTTGTGGCTCTCTTTGAAATACGGGACCTACGGCTTTATCTCCAGACCAAGCGGACGCCCCTAACTGATGAAGCTCGGTACTCACCTGCAGCTGAGTCAAGTTAGGAAATAAGTGCCAAGTGCCTTTCCAAAGGACGCACAGACCTGAGTGTGGCCTGTCAGGGATTCGAACTTGGAACCTTCGGTTTCTGAGCGAACAACCACCTCAATAACCCAAAACCACATTTTCTTTTGTTGTGCTTCAAGTTTCAAGCACAAATGACCATTTGTTACCGCATATGGCAATAGAGACTCGGATTAAAGATGGGATTGGTAATTAAGATTTGCTGCTGGTATAGTAAGATTTCTTCATACTAGTTATAAGCTTTCAGCCTCGATACTAGTTCACATATACCACCCATTCTGCTAAATTAGCTGCCTATATTCATTCTATGAACTACTAGGTCAATGATTACTATGCCTTCTTATAACATATTAACCAGATTGTTGTTCAAATATAGAATTCAAAGCTGTATTGCAATTTCAGGTAGTGACCGCACTCATAATCTGTTCAGACCACAAAAACATAAATGTCATTTTGTTTTACAATGTTGTGTCTTCTTGTTACTTGTCAGGGCTTCTTCTACTTCAATGTTCCAACGGCAGCGATCGAGGCGGCGGCACCAGTCACTCCGGTGTGAGACCACATAGAACGTCGGTAGGAGATCAGGGTGACGACTGTCTGCTGTGGATCTTCACAGGAACTGACTTAATCAAGAGTTTATTTTTGTCCAGTCTTAATCAAGAGTTTTGGGTTACTCATTAGCTAATCATACAATCTGATCTTACAAACTGTATCCAATCCAGAAAACCACGACAAATTAAACAGTATTTACTAAAGTCAAGAGATAATTGTTGGAAAGTACATTGTTACAACCCTTGTCCTGCTGGTCATTCTGACAATATCTGTGCATTATGTGCTCCCTGTCTTACTAATCTACTGTGTCGTTTTGTCATTGTTACACTAGTACGGTATTTTCATTGTAATGTTTCTTACTTACTATTTCTACGAGTATATGTTTACGAGGGATGATTTGTCAATTTTGCTATGCTTTACTTTTATTATTTGTAATAATGTTTTTTTTTAAATTTTATTGTGGGGATATGCTCCTAGGAATACTCTAAAAAGCGCCAGAAGGAGACAAATCTGGATAAATAAATAAAGAACTAGAAAGAACATTGGTACAATGCAGATTCATGTGACTTCCATTGGTACAATGCAGATTCATTTTACTTCGATTGTTACTACGCAGATTCATTATGGGTTCACCACAAAGTGGTGAAACCATATTGCTTTTTCTGATGTTTCTTCTCCTCCTTCTTCTTCTCCTGCCATTTCTTTAAATTGATTCAGCTTCTTCATTTTGGGGCCTATGGACCTGAAATTTTGTATGAAGGTACAGTGGGCAAATACCCCCAGGCGTTTTTTTAATTTTTGTGATACAGGCTTTTAGAATGGTTTTATTTGAGCTTCTTGGCTGTGTTATAGCAAATGTATTACTGTGTCAGTGTGCCAAGTTTACCACGTTTGGGCATGAGTCATCACAGTGGAATGCAGGGCATCAACCAATAGGCATGCAGCTTTCCTCTATTCTTCTTGCTGATTGGCTGTTGGGATTTAACTGGGTTAAGTTGTATGTTACTTCATACTATAGTTATATCAATGTAAAGCATTGTTTTCCCTGTGTTTCTCATTCTTTCCCTGCCATGTCGTAAAATGTGGTGAAGCCATCGCTGTATTTGCTCCAAAGCAAATGTCGGCCTTTCTAGTTTGAATTCGATTGTTACTACGCAGATTCATTTTACTTCCTTTGTTACTAGGCAGATTCATTCTAGTACGCAGCTTCATTCTATTTTCATTGTTAGTTTGCGGAGTCATTCTATGTCCATCGTTACTATCTAGATTTATTGCATTTCCATCGTTTCTATGCGGATTCATTTTTGTTCCAGTGTTTCTATGCAGATTAATTTTACTTCCAGCAAGTTGTAACTAATACGTATATGATATCATGAATTCTTGTCGTTTCTTACCTGCTCAGTCACGCTTAATTCCTATTTGCTGATTATACCAATTATTGCCGCCAAATAATTCGTACAAGTCTGTGTATTGACCGTGCTGCACCGACATCAATTTTACCTTTACACAGTACATGTAACTACCAACACAGATGAATAATACATTGCCAGATGTTATCACCTTCGCCAAGAATTGGAGAAGGTTATGTTTTCGTGGCCGTGTGTGTGTGTGTGTGTGTGTGTGTGTGTGTGTGTGTCTGTCTGTCTGTCAACAGCATAACTCGAGAAAGCTTAGATGGATTATCTTGATATTTGGTAGGTGGGTAGGTCTTGATGAGAGCTCGAACTGATTAGATTTTGGGCCCCCTGGCGGCTTGTTATGGTACTGCAGCTGAACTTCCGGTTTTGATATCTCATGATCCAGACATGCTAGGGTGACGAAATTTGCATGGTAGGTAGCTCTCGTGCTGGGGAAGAAGTGACACGAGTTTGGGCCCCCTAGCTGCTCTGGAACTGCAGGGGCGTTAGTTGAAAAATGTTTAAAGGCTGATAACTCAAGAACCGGTGGATGGATCGTCGTGATTTTTGGCATGTAGGTAGCTGAAGTGATGCTTGACATAATGATATTACAATTATGCAAATAATAATGTAATTTGCATAATTAATGAGGAAAGTCTATTAATCAGCTGCATTCCATGATAGGACTATTCAAGCATGTGTCATACATAATTGAGAATGGCAGAAATACAGGCAGATATCAATTATGCAAATGAGGACTTAATTTGCATAATTAAAGAGAAAATGTTATAATTACATAGTGGTAACTGCCTGGAATTTCATACTTGGGATATTTGAAAGTTATGTAAAGGTGAACATAATTAAACATAACTTATTCAAATAAGGACCTCATTTGCATAATTTATGAGGAAATACTATAATGGCATTCTTTGATAAGATAAGACTGTCTTCTGGTGTAGAATATGATCTACAGATATAATTGATGCAATATAGGATCCCATTTGCACAATCAGTAATTACCTCCATGAAATGTGTCATGGAGGTTATATTTTCAGTTGCGTTTATCTGTCCGTCCGTCTGTCCGTCTGTCCGTCCGTCTGTTGGTCAACAAGATAACTCAAGAACGCCTGGATGGATTGGTTTCATACTTGGTGTGTTGGTAGGGTGTGACGAAAACTGGAAATGATTAGATCTTGGTCCCCCTAGTGGCTTCCCTTGGTACTGCAGCGCAACTTCCGGTTTTGATATCTCGCGATCTGGACATGCTAGGGTCATGAAATTTTGATGGAAGGTAGCTCTCGTGCTTGGGAAAAAGTCATATGAGTTTGGGCCCCCTAGCGGCTCTGGAACTGCAGGGCACTCTCTGGCGAAATGTTTATAAGCCAATAAGTCCAGACAGGAACAACATATTTTCATTATTTTTGGTGTGTAGGTAGCTGAGAGAGAGATGTACATAATTAAATGCAAATTATGCAAATGAGGACTTAATTTGCATAATTAATGAGGAAATTCTATAATTACAGTGTTTTACATTATACTACTTACATACATGTAATGTATGTAACCTATGGCAGGCGGAACTTCAACAGATACTAATTATGCAAATGATGACCTAATTTGCATAATTAATGCGAAAATTCTATGATTTCGTAATGGTGAATGATGAGAATGTCATACTTGGGACATCTGTAAGTTAATCAAAAGTTAACATACATCACGATGCATATATCATGTTAATGCAGAGGTCATTTGCACAATTAAAGAAGAAATTAACATTTACATATCAAGATCATATTTCATGGAGGTATGAGATCTCGGAATTCTAGTTAATCTATAATTTCTTAGCCTTAAAGGCTAAGCTCATTTGGCGAAGGTATGAGATCGTGGAACTCTAGTTCGTGATTCCATGACATGGTCTTGTTTGATCCGTGTTATAATCCGGCGTTTGGACAGGCCTCCCCAAACCGGGCTAGCATACTCTAATACAGGGCGTCAAAGCACTGACAAGGTAAATCTGTACAAGTATATCTGAGGACAGTCCTGCCTTCTTAGCAACAGCTAGATAGTGAATTCTCGGGCGTGTTCTCGTCAACATGTACTGAATGTGAGCGTGCCATGTCAAATGATCTGATACAAAAACACCAAGCAGTTCGATCTGGTGACCGTCTACAGTCAACTGGGGAGAATCTGGTGCGTTTTCCTTTCTCCTTGCATCTCCTCACCATGTCCTTTGTTTTCTTGGAGTTCGCTGAGAGAGAAGTGCCTTCCCCCCATGTAACAACAGAGTCCAGTGCTCTTTGAGACTGTCAATCAGGATTTTAGAATGTTTAACTGTACTCATTGATGTGATAAGTTTTTATGATGTATTTTATCGCTAATTATGCAGATCAGCAGCAGCAGATGTATGTGAGATGTTATGCTATCTATTGTAATAATTGAGTACAAGTTGTAAATATTCGACATATTTCATGCACTTAATGTGACATGCCAGTACAGTCGATATTCAAATGAAATCTGAATCTGATCTGTATCAGCCACATTAAGTCTGTGTAAACCCTTTCAACAGCACCACGCCTGTATCCTCTATGTCTTCTTCGGGAGTCAGAGACAGAGTCCTGACGTAAATTCTTTCTTGGTTGTACGAGTGTACGTGGTGAGCTGTCCACATCGTCTTCTCGTCGAAGTAGTACATGAGTTTAGTGTCGTCCTTGTCGGAGGGAACGAGCTCGTAGACACGGACCCAGTCGCAGAGGTGTAACATCATCACAACACCTGTAATACAGCATATAAAAACTTATTTTATGTTAATGATTATGCCTCAGCAAGTAAATTTTATGGATGACATCCTCTGCAGCCTCCAAATCTAATGCGAGCGGACGAAAAAAAAACAAGGCGTGTCGAAAAAAAATGGTTAATGTTCCCACAATTTCAAATTTTGGCTCAATCATTGTACAAATGGTTTTGATTCAGTGGAAACATCACATATACACAGCCAGCATCACATATCACAGCATCAAAGTGAAAAACAAGACTTTTTGTCTTCTCTCTTCATAGTTATCTGCCATCCACCTTCCGGCATGACAACAGGTATCTTTGCCCATTTTCGGCATGTTGACTACTGACTGTCAGAGGGCAAAATCATTTCTTGTTTTTATTTTTCAAAACCAGACGAAAATGAATGCGCGCGCTGATGTCATCCATAAAAATCACTTCCTTTGGCCTTATCACTGTAAACAAATGAACAGTTTTGTGACAGCAAAGTGTACAAAGATGCCAGAAATGTATATGTATGTACATGTATAATTGGCAGAAATATTTTAGGGGGAAAAGCAGCAAGATGACCAGGGTACTTGTACACGTGGCAATGGACACGAAGGTTGAGAAATCCTCACCAAGCATGCCTGAACTTGGGCGCAGTTTTGTTCTGTCGCACATTCCTGTAGTTTTACAGAACCGAGCCAATTCTGCCATTATATCCTGTCCAAATCTTGGCCTCTGTATATAAGGCTTAGCTCTGTTGGGAAAGGTCTTCCGGTATTTGATCAAGTTGGAAAACGACTGGCGAACACTCTGTTTCACGTTCAAAGAGCCTCTACGTCCAAAGTTAATGCCGTCCATGTTTCCAACGACCAAAGTTGCGTGTGTGAACATGGCGCTTTTCTCGCTCCAGAATTCCTTCTGGCAGCTTCGCAAAGGGATGAGTGTGTTAATCATGCGAATGTCCGTCCGGCTGCCGACCAACTTCTCAAACTTGTCAGTCGGAGCGCAGTTAAATCTTAACACGGCGTCGTGGCTGTCTGAAAGAATGAAAAGTATATTCAATTAGAAACTATAGTATGAAGTGACAACAGTTGGATAGCTATCCCCTACATTATTGGTTAGGAATTTTAATTGCACAATCATGCAAACTGTTGATTTTCAAGATAAAAAGAAGCGTTTATGCCCCGCATTCCAATGCTTGAGCAGGAGAGCTTGACATACGTATAAAAATTTGAATGTAGTTCATACTGTCAATATGGCATAGCTTTGTACAAGTGTTAATTGAGTTAACCCAATCAAATCCCAACAGCCAATCAGCAAGAAGAATAGAGGAGCGTCCATTCCGACTAACCTATTTCCTTCCCGTATTCGTGAAACTTTAGTGCGTGGCTGCTACTGACGACTGCGCACGAGTTAAAGTGCACCAACTTCTCCAGGCTCTCCTCCGGCAGCA